CATCTCCTAATACCATCACAAGGAAACTGATAAAAAAAAGGAAAAAAAAAAAGAAGAAGCATTTGTTTGTTAGAAATTTATTTTATTTTTATCTTTTTCATTTTTATTTATTTATTATAAACTATCAAATACGGGAAAGAGGGGGAAGGAAAATGGATCCCTTCTCCTTTCATTCTTCTCTAACCTAACATATTCTTTTTTTCTAATGATGGATTAAGTTGTTGATTAATTTGTGATTAAGAAGCAAAGCACTGGGGGGCAGGAGATATTAATAAACAGTAAGTGTGAAAGGAAGTGATATGACAATATGATTAAAGAAAATGAAAAATATAGAGATGATCACTAGCTAGTTAGGTGGAGAATATTTGCTTTTACTTATTGTTTGTACGTAGTAGTTTTCCTTGTGTTTTGTTGGAGAATTACTTGTAAAACACAAACTAATAATTAGAGATTTAGTCAAACTCATCATTCACAAAAGCATCCATCTGTCTTGCATTGTTACATTTTTCCTTTATATGTATAATATATATATAAGATGCTCCACAACAAGATATTTGGTGTAAGTCTCCATCTTCATGAATCTCCATTAACCAAATGAACACGAAAAAGGCTTCAAAGTCTATATTTAAAATCGAATATTTAGAAAACTCGCAAAAGGGATTTGGATTCCCCACCCTTATGTCGTTTGGGGACTCATCACATGTCCCATATATGTAGAGTTGCCCATGTTTAATTGTTTTTTAAAGCCACAAGAAAAAAGGAGAAAAAAACTTTAATTTTTTTGATAGAAATGGGTATCTGCAATTTATGGCTTTAGTATACACAAAGCTACGCTGCGTTAACTGATTGAGAATCCTTACTGTTTTTGGGCCCTATCTTTATATTCTCATGTTGGCTTTTCAAGTGGCATTAATCATCTCTTAAATATACTTAAATCTCTAAACAATATTTAGTTTAAATACAACTTGAAATTAGTTTGTAGAAATTAATATAACTAAACTAAATAATCTTGAGCTAATTCTCTCCTTTTGATTTTCGTGGAGTGGTGTGTCTTCTTTATGACTTTTTATCTACTCTACACGGTACATGTAGTGATACTGTTAGCACATGCCATGGCCTCATCTTTTCCTCCATAAATATTCTCCTTCTACTCCGCAACCTCTTGCACTTATCTAAACATTAAGCAAAAACATACGGAGGGAATTAATATGAAGAAGACAACTTCATTTCTTCTGAACAATTCTCCTAATTCTTCCATGGAACTCCCTCAAGTCCCCCCACCAAAAAAGTCTCCCCTCATCGACTCCCCAACCTCGCCTCAGCTCATCATGGGAGAACAAATCATCCATTTCAGCCACCCTCATCATCCCCTCTCTCAGGTTGACCTGCCTAACTGCTTCACCTGTGCTAGCTGCAAAGAATACGGCGCTGGCAAGCGCTACACCTGCTCCCAATGTGACTTCCAGCTTCATGATTTCTGTGCCTTGGCTCCTTCAGCTCTCAAGAGTCATCCCCTCCATTTCCAGCACAAACTCCTGTTCTTTTCTAAACCAGGTTGGCATTTCTTTAATTTTCTTCTTTTTCTTTCTACACACGTAAGATTCTCAACTAATTGAAATTCAAGGGCTGAAATTTTTCTGAAATAACTTTTAATGTTGGGTTTGTTTTTTTAGTTAAAGGAGGACTCTTAAAATCAAGGTGTGATATATGTGCCAAACCCATCAGAGGAAGTGCTTTCATATGCACTGCTTGCAATTTCCAGATGCACCCATGCTGTTCCATGTTGTCTACAGAACTCGACGTTCCGGCCCATCCACACATCCTCAAGATCTTACCTGTGGTGCAATACTCATCCAATGGGGACCTTGATTTTCAGTGTGGGGAGTGTAAGAGGAGGAGATCAGGGAGAGTGTATCGTTGCACCGTCTGTGACTACCATCTACATGCTGTTTGTGCTAAGAGCATGATTAATGGGCTCCAAGCCAATGGCTTCAAGGGCGTAGAGAAGCCAGGCATGCTGGGGACTGCAGCCAGGGTTGCTTCTAAAGTCGTGATGGAGTTCATTGGGGGGCTAATTGAGGGGCTTGGAGAAGGGGTTGGACAAGTCCTCATTCAAAGTGTGACCACCACAGCAGGAAAGCACCATATAACACCATGATTTCTCTGTACAAATTAATTCAAAGCTATTTGTGACATATTGCTGGATGGATACAATTGAAACCAGTATCCATCCATTATTTATGTTGATAATAATTAGTGGGGAGCTTGTGGTACATATTTTATATGAAAAAGGGAGATGTCATGTCTACTTAGCCAAGCTTCATGCCAAAGACATATAAGATTGTATGTACGTTATGTTCTCTGTATATTTTGGCCATGGAAAAAAGAATAAGAAGTGTGTTTAAAATTAAAGAAAGATTTGTTTGAGACTTCATATTTTCGAAAGAAAAACTTGTCCTTTTCTCCTTTTCGCTTATATATATATCTTAATTTTACATAAAGCATATCAAAGTGTAAGAGAAATTTTATATTCAAATAATGGTGGATAGGCCTTCATATGAATATCTCACCATCACTTATTTAGTAATTTTTTACAGTACTTGCCCTTTCCATGCAAACTGAAAGAGGCAGCTAGTAATTCAACAAGACTAGCTAATCATATTTAATAGAGATCAGTTTTGACCTGCGTATATCATACTTATTTAGCAATTACCACACTTATCATATGAATACATAAAAAACCAAAAGAACTAAGTGGCAAGGAAAGGCTTCACAAATGCTTAGCATTTTTAAGGCAAATGCTGTAACTTCTCAGTAGATGGAAGGACTAGCTAGATGCCTACAGTTGACGTATGCTTGATAAATTTCAAATGATGTGTGAAAAGTATAGGTCTCCATCTGCTCCATCTTGGTATTTGAAAATTCATAAGAAGTATATGATGAGGATTCCCCGAACAGGCACTCAGTCTCTTCACTCTCCTGCTGAGCTCAAAAGTTGTCACCAAGCCTTTTCGGCCTACCAAGCTCCTTGGCGACTTCCTTCATGGTTGGCCTTCTTAGGCTAGTATCATTAAGGCATCTCTTTACAAGATCAGCAACTGCTTCTACTTTCTTCACATTATTTGCCCTTTCTATGCGAACAGAAAGAGGCACTAGTATTATATGCATTAAGTCTAGAAAAATCATATTTTATTAACTTTTTGACCTGCTTAAATCAAATTTAGCAAATACAACACTTATCTTATATAAACATAGAGAACCAAGAACCAAGTGGCAAGGAAAGCCTTCACAAATGCTCAGCATTTTGTCGGAAAAGGTCGTAACTAATCACATATGGAAGATTATAGTAGCAGGAAAGACTAGATGCCAAGAGTTGATGATGCTTGCTCAATGTCAAATGTTGTGTGCACCGTATAGGTCTCCACTTGTTCCATCTTGGTATTTAAAAATTCAGAAGTATATGATGAGGATTCTCCTAGCAAGTGCTCAGCTTCTTCATTTTCCTTGTGAGCCCAAAAGTTATCACTAAGCTTTTTTAGCCTTCCAAGCTCCTCGGCAACTTCCTTCATGGTTGGCCTTCTTAGGCCACTTCCATTGAGGCTTCTCTTCACAAGGTCAGCAACTGCTTCTACTTCCTCCATTTCCCCATCATCGGCTGGCTCAAAATTCAAAACTTGGGCAATACGACCATCTTCAACACATAAAATGAAATACTGAATGATGTTTCT